TATTGGTTCAATGCTTTTATTAGCAAAAATTCCTACAGTCTGCTTCACTAAACACTTAGCTTTCATCTACTATGCAGTGCTGCTTTGGTATTCATGATGAAGGGATGTGTAATGCCTTCTGTCCCTAATGATACCCAAGAGAAGCACGCAGGTATAAAGCTTTACTTCCAGGTCAGGCAATGCTTCGCATTTCGCTCACCTACTCCACAGGCCATCACCTCTGAGCGGTCACGGTCAAAGGGCTGCCCTGCTGTGCACAGAGAAGGAGGGGACAATAGTCCTGCGACTGGCTGAAAAGTGTCCCCTCCCTCCCATGTAATAACGTGATATTCCCCCACAGTGTGCTTTCCTGAAAAAGAACTGAGGGAAAGACAGACAAGAAGTTTACATCTTTTCCACATATGGATGCTGCGTTTGTAGACCTGGGAGACGTGAACCTCTGAAGGAGTCAAGAGTTGGAGGCAGAGCTGCAAGTGCTGTCAGGGACTCCTGGCTCAGAGTCCTTCTGCAGCTGGGACCAGTGGCTGTGCCGGGAGCGAAGGGCATTCTCCTTCAGCTGCTGTGAAACAGGCACATTGTCCATGCGACTGCACTTTTGCACGTTCCTTTGGCTTAAGGCATGAATAGCTTGTCCTTCCCTATGCATCATCCCTGTGCCAGACCAGGCACGGGTTTGCATGGGACCTGGTGTAAGCCAGGTTTAAATGATCATCCTCTGGAATTACCGATATAAAATTTAATGTGGTATTTTTATCTTCAGCCCTTGTAGTTACTGGAGCGCAGGTTAAAAGCTGCATTTATTGCAGGCATTTATTTTTATTAAGAACAGATCTTTGCAGTCCATCAAAAACACTCAGCTTGGAGGAAATGCACTGTAGCTGCCTCGGCTATCAGCGTGAGTTGCCGGCAGGGTAAGCCGCGTTGCTAATCATACAGCATATACACCAATGCAGGGCAAGCACGGCGCAAAGCACGGGCTGTTAGAAACATCCTACGGGCCACCAGTGTTGGTCTAGGGCATGTTTTTCTCTCCCTCCCCGGCCTTCCGTGGGGGCAGACCGCCATGCACAGGGTGCTCCTCGGGATCTTCTGAAGACATGGCAGAACCCTGCTGCCCGCAGGGGCCACGGCTTCACCGCTGCTGCGGCGGTCGCCCAGGCGTCGGGGCGGGGAGAGGTGTTCCCCTGCCGCCTCCTCGCTGGGATGTGATGGGGCAATGTGGAGGGCAGGGTTGGAAATTAAATTTCCAGATGACAATGTTTGAGAGACAAGCGAGGAAAGGTTACGCTGTGTCTAGCCCTTAAGTGACGAGAAGCCATAAATGTAAAGCGGTTTCCTGCTGTTATTTTCAAACTAAGAACAGGAAAGTGATAGACCCAGGTCAGACTGAAGCTGTGCCATGCGCGGCCATCCAAAGCTAATGCCTTGGGAAGAGTACAAGGACAGGGCAAATGGATACAGATTTCCCTCCCAAAATATTCTCCTGGCTATTTGTACTGCAGTGATTCCCTGAACTGAGGCGGTGCCTTTGTTAGTAGCCCGTAATTTGCTTCCTTAAATTTGCCCTTAAATTGCATCAAGTCCTCTTAACTTGCCTTGAAGGCACCAAGCTTTCCAGCAGCTGAGCCGTGGGTCAAGCCCAGACTGTGGCAGCAGCCGGAGCTGCCCCAGGAAAGTGCTTCGGAGGTAACACCCTGGCTTTGTCGGGGGACAGTCAGACAAGCTCTTCTGTCCCCCCAGACAACCTGCAATTTGACGGCGTGTTTTTCCAGCCTGCCCAAGAGCTTTCCCCAGCTGTAAGAGGAGGGCGTGCTGTCACCCTCCGTCAGACTGAGGAAATTTTTGCTTGTCTGCTGTCTTTCCTCACTGCTGGGCAGCACACTTGCCTTCCAGGATCTGCAGCAGCGTAACACAGTAGACACCACCAAAGGCACTCTTCAATTCCCTCAGCATACAAAAAAGGAGAATCAAGTCACGGTTGGACTTGTAATTAAGTGTAATAGCAACAGCTTGTATACTGCAGTTGACTTCTTGTCTTTGCTTGTCTTACCAATTCGAACACATTACACCTGAGATCATTTTGTGCACAGCCCAGTTGGGTCCTGTATATCAGCACCTGTGGCAAGGAGTTTTAAGAGGTTTTGCCAAAGCACAGTGTTGCAGGCCTCAAAAGCAGAGAGAGAAGACAAAAAAATAGTGATTGCTAATATTTAATGTGTTTCCTGACCACCACGTGTTTCATACCTCACCAGTTGCAAAAGAAAACAGCATTTCAGTCAAAGAAGTGCTCTAGGTCAGCAGCTCTTACTCTGTGTGGAGTAAGTAACTCTTCAGAGTTTCTGAGGTGCCACCTCAGTTTCTGAGGTGCCACCACCAACCTTTACCATCAAAGGAGAATACAAGGGCAACGCAGTGTGGTGTCCGATGCAGGTCCATACCCCCTGTCTCATGGTTTCATGGCCACCAGTGACCCCCACCATAGGAACAACTGCTCTTCCCCAGGCGGGGAGCAAACCTGGGCTGAGCTTGTCTTCTGTAGCCTCTGCCAAGCTCCTCTGCGAAAGTTTGCCTTGCCAGGCTTTGTTTAAAGCAGACCAAAATGCAAAACCTGAAGCACCAGGCTTTCATAGTGGATTTTTGTGCCAAATCCAGTGTAATCCTTGTGTTTCCCTTCCCTGCCGAACTCCGTTCCAGCAGCCAGCCTGTAACGTAGCGTCCCAGGGATGGTTTGTTTTGGGAGATGGAAGAGACGCTGAGGGTGTCCCTCAGAAAGCACTACAGGGAGGAAAGTGCACACTGCTGAAGACAGAAGGAGAGCGGTGATGCTCAGGATTGACAGACCTTTTCCATTTGACTCCTGCTGTGGTAAGCCTGATGCTTTTAACCCTGAAAGTATACTCTCTGCAGTCACACGAGGCTTTTATTTGCTAAAAATCAGAGCCCCATGGCAGGCTTTCAGGTGGTTCCCAAGCTGGCTGAGCATGCCTGGAGAATGCAACCACAGCAGCCCTGGGCAATATGGTAAATTAGGCACCGCAGGTTTAATCCAATCTGATGTTAGACATTCAACGTTTGCAGGAAAGTTTTAGGCAGCTGATGTTGAAGACTGGAAACTTTATAGTCAATCAGTAAATCCTGCCATGTGTAATGGATCAGTCTGAACGTAGCAGATACGCCTAGTGTTATTAAAACCCCCAGTTTTTAATATATTGCGAACAAATGCATTTACTGGAGGGTAGGACTGGGAGCTCCCTATTTTTCTTACCCTACAGCAGACTGTGTAAACTACTCAACAGATAAGACCGCAGAAGTGAGTCGCTGCGTAGTGAGTCATGCTTACAAAATTTTGACAAGGCAAAACATATTTACCTTTGAAGCAGAGAAGCCCCCAGTTGCAGACACTTGTCACTGGAGGCCTCTAGCAAGTGGTACCCTTCCCACTAATGGGGGGGCAACCCCAATTTCCTTGCTAGCAATGTCGGCCCTGATCAGTCCAATCACACTGGGTTCTGAAATTATAAGATTTGAAGTGTAGTGAGAAATTTGTAGATTTTATAATTTGTAGATTTTGTAAAAATTTGTAGTTTCTGTAGCAATAAACAAACCTTTACTTGCTTTATGTTTTTTGAGCTTCGAGGATGCTCTTGGGCCAAATCTTCAGGCTTTTCTCTGTAGCTGAGAGGGCTATGAGTCTGCTCTGTAAAATCAGAGAACAGGGAGTCTTCCGTTATCACTGGCCTGAGGGAGCATGAAATTGAAAACGTCAGCCGTCGCAAGTCTTATCATAAAAGCATGAGAATAGCTTAGACCCTTACGTCTAACAATATATGCAGCCAGGACTGGGACTAATATTCTGCCCACGTGCAGGAAAGCAGATGCCTGGACAAACCAACATTTGAAAATGTATTTCTGCAGTTGTTTGTTTGTTTGGTTTTTTTATTGACCTTTGTTAGCATGTGACCCTTGCCAGAAGCTGTGAAGAATGCTGTGTATTCCCTTGGTACCCTGCGTATGAATGTATATTTGTTTTCTTTATTAAAACCCGGGCAGAAGAAAATGGACCAGATTCCACTCCATTACCTCTGCTCAACTTCATCAGCTGCACGGAGTTGTGGTGAAACAGCAGCTTTTGATGGAGTACATCCAAAAGCCCACTACTAACATGCGTGGTAACAGATGCTGTAAGATTGCAGAGAGTAAACGTTTGGCAATTCTCCTCTAACGTGGCTACCTTGTGCTGGCAGCCTCGTGGTCCAGCTCTGCCTCCCCGCTCAGGAGTGCCGCATGAGGGAAGCCCAGTTCGGTATCGGTAGCACTTCTGAAGGGAGGGAGGATTTGCAGAACCACAGAATCCAGTTAAAAATCAGGTCGGCAGGGACCTCAGGAGGTCTTCTGCTCCAACCCACCTCTGGAAGCAGGCACTGACTGGTGGGCGCAAGCGCGTGCCTTCGTGGCGGTTCTCTGCAGGACGCAGGGTTAAGGTGGCTGTTGTGGGACTGATTTATTAGATATACACAATAGAGACCTTGGCACCTGAGCCAGCGCCCTGGACTGTATCCACAGTCAGCAGAGAGAAACGGGCATGGCAAGGGTCTTGTCCCACGTTGGAGAAGCTGAGCCAGCTGTGGTCAGGTAAAACCCTCCCAGAAGTGCACATCTGTGGCGTATGGCTTCCTGCTTCATGATCGATGGGTAACAGGGAAAATGACAGCGTGAGAAAACTGCCTTTGGATGAAAACCCTAAAATTAAAAAATAAATAAAAAGCTCTCTCTTCAACGGGCATGGCAAGGGTCTTGTCCCACGTTGGAGAAGCTGAGCCAGCTGTGGTCAGGTAAAACCCTCCCAGAAGTGCACATCTGTGGCGTATGGCTTCCTGCTTCATGATCGATGGGTAACAGGGAAAATGACAGCGTGAGAAAACTGCCTTTGGATGAAAACCCTAAAATTAAAAAATAAATAAAAAGCTCTCTCTTCCCCGCCCCCATCTACTCGGCACCAGCCGGTGCTTTGCCGGTCGTGAAGATCCCAAAGAAGAGAGGGAGGAAACCCGGGTACAAGGTAGATATGTGATTTTCACACTCCTCCTCCACCTCCCGCTGGTTTTAATACATTTTCTTCTAGAATTTCAGGTGAAATGCAGGAACGGGGGCAAAGCTGTGCAACCTGTTCCGGTGGTGAAGCACTGGCACAGGGTGCCCAGGGCGGTGGTAGATGACCCATCCCTGGAAACATTCCAGGTCAGGTTGGACGGGGCTCTGAGCAACCTGGAGATGTCCCTGCTGACTGCAGGGGGGCTGGACGAGATGGCCTTTAAAGGTCCCTTCCAACCCAAACCATTCTGTGATTCTATGATTCTAAGGGTGCGGCAGAGCAATGCAAGAAAAGTAAGAGAAGCCAGTTTATCTACTACCTGAGCTGGTGAAAAATAGAGGTAATCTATTTTTTTTAAAGATTACAGTTATTTTAATTTGCATCTTTTGAAAATAACTTGTCTCCCACTGTGCTGTGTGAGATGGCTGCACACCTTCTGGGAAGCGTTGCTCTCTCATTTGTCACTTTTTTCTTCTGTCTAACAGTGATTAGAAATGAAACAAAATGAAAGGAAAAGGAAAGGAATCCGGGGGATTGGGAATAAAAGGAGAAAATAAAGTTAATTTCCAAAGGAAAACCACCCAAACATTTTAGGAAGTAATGAGATTTCACTTACTGAGGGAAAGGTAGTTTTGGTTATTTGTCTGCTCACTTTTGGGGGGAAAATCACGCCGAGCTCTCAGTGTGACGCCGGTGGGGAGTCTGGGCTAAAGAACGAAAGAAACTCAGAGTGTCTCAAGCCCTTCACACGCTGCCGGCGGGCTGGGGCTCTCCCACCGCACCCCCCCATGGTGGGCTCAGCACCAGCATGAGTGGGGCCACCGTTACGCCTCAGACCAGGCGAAAATGGGACCGCGGTGCTGAGAGGAGGGGAATTTATTCTGGGGAGTGAAAACGAGCTACACCGTAACGAGGGGTCTCGTTGCCAGCAGATTGCTCCATCATTCTCTCTACCTCTCTCCCAGCCAGCGAGGGGCACCGTACGTGTTTGCTGTGCCTGTTTCTTGTTTTTAATGGGGAGGGGTGCAGACGCGCAGTCTGTAACACGGGGCGGGGCAAACTGCCGACTGTTAGAAAATAATAGCTGCTCAAGTTGCCGATGTCAAAACAGCAAAGCGAGTGACACGAGCGGTGCGTGCGCAGGGCCTGCCCCAGCCTTCCCGGGAGAAGGTCTCGGCCCCGAGTGTCGCCCGGCTCTTCCCGGGGTCCCTCCCGGTTCACGGGAAGCAGCAAGGCCCCATGCACAGTGCTGCCGGCCGAGCTCCGGGGACGGGGACCAAATGTCTCAGCTCCGTGGGTTTGGGCTTTATCTAGAGCAGGCTACCCGTATCGTTGCCCTTCCCTCCTTTTCACATCCCGCCAGACCTTCTTCTTCCTCCCATCCTCCAACCTCCCTCCTCCCTCCTCTCTCTTTTCCAGGCGAGCCCTCTGCATCCCATTTCCAGAATCCCCCACTCCTCTGCATCCCGCCGCGCAACACCTACCGCGTAGGCATCTGTGCCTCAGCCCTTGGTGCTTTCTCCTCATCTTCTGCCTGCTCCCCTTCCCTCCATGCTCGCCCTACTTCATCCATACCCCTCTCTGCTATGGGGGCACGTTTTGAAACGTGCTTCTGTGTGTGCTGAAAACAGACCTTGTGTGGCTAAGAAACAGTTCCAGCTGCCTTTTCCCACTTCTTCTGAAAAACTTTGAATTTGATAACATGAATGAGTAACAGCAGCCAACCTGACAGCAGGGTCAGGTGTCCCGCTTGGGATTACCGCAGAATTTTATAGTGGTAGTCCAAAATAGAGCTGCATGTCCAAGCTAAGACTGGGGCAAATAATCTTGTGTTTTTTAAAATATGGGACATGGAAATATTTCTTATTTTGCACTTTAGTATTAAGTCAAAACTCTGGGACGGAAACATGTGAATTGTTTTACTTGAGGTACTTGTTATTGCAAGTTTATTATTTATTATATTTATTTTGTTTTATTACAAGTAATAATTTAAATAATTATCAGTAAAGATATGTCACTCATAGGCTCTTTAGATCAAAACCATCCAAGTCTGGGATAATAACACTTTGGAGATGTGGTGAAATTGAGTCCCTGAGACTATTAAGTGACTTGCCAAATACCACAATGACCTTGTATGCAGAGTTGCGGCAGGCCCCATCTCTTCGTCCCCTGCTTGTCTTGCTGACCCCCATTTCTTACTCCTGCATTTACATTTGATTTGTAAATTGACAAAAAAAAAATTCTGGGGAGTATGTTCTGTTCCACCCCAAATGCACCCATCCACTTGTGAAAAAGCCTTTCACCAACCACCACACATTTGTAAGGAGGAGAAGCAAAAATGGAGACTTAAGTTTCCTGAAATGCTGCAGTAACCTTGTGCTTCAGACCTAGGTAGCCAAGCCCTTGATTGCTGTTGCCCCCTCTTCTTCCAAAGGGATGCTTTTCCCCCAGCTGGGTACCACACACACGCCTCCTCCCCATCCCCGGGGACTTGGCGGGGGAGCCTTCGGCAGTGAATCTGGCACAATGTCATCTCTTGGCGAGTGACGGCGAGTAAAAAGGAATCCTTTTATAACCAACGGCTTCAGTTTCTGGAGCTGACACTCGTGAGCTGGAGCATCCGCGGCATCTGGCCTGGTGCCGTTTATTTGCGCTATAGGATTCGTACACCAAAGCGACGTTTTCTGTGAGGCGCCTTTGTACGCTGCGTGCTCAGCTGAAGTGAACCCCACTCCACCAAAACCACTTCCCCAGCAGGAGTCAAAGATTACATTTTTTGATGGGGAACTCTAGCTTGATTTAATTAGCTCGCTAATTGTATGACTTGCAGATACCATGAGACTTAAACGCATTTTAAAAAATGACTCCCTGCCCAAATGGCAGACGACCAAATTCTTTATAGCAACCAGATAACTGTTGGTTGTTGGAACAGATGGAAAAATACTTCTGAGTTTTTAGCAAACTAGGAATTTACAGCCTCGATTTAAATTTATTTTGACCAAGATGTTAATAACAGACATTTTTAATCACATGCTCTTTATAGCGAGATGACCCATTGCCTGTTTTCATTGATATTACAGCAAATATCTGTGTCTTCCTAAAATGACATTTCACCACGCTTCACCACCAACCAAAGCCCTTTTCCTCACTCTCCTGTTTATTTTTTCACAGCTTTGCTTATAAAATTTCATCAGTTGTTTTTCCAAAAACTGTTTTGTACCTGATGTGGAGCTATTTGCCATAAAATGCTACATTTTCCCTAAATACAATATTCTTTCTGACTGCCTCTAGGAGAGAGTCTTCTGGCAGCCAGGAGGGAGATTAGTAGATGGATCCATTTTATTTCTCTGGCTGTGAGTGAGGGTCAGCCCCGAAGAGCTGCCTGGAAAGCCCGTGCGAGGGAAGGCTTTGTTAGCACGGTGGGGGGGTTCGTGGTGTTAGAGGACACTGGAGCCACGCGGGCGCGGGGCAGCGCTGCAGCAGAGACCACCACATCCCTCCCAGAGAGCAACAAAGCAATGGCCCCGTCTGTGGAGCAGCCCGAGGGCTGTCTGTCCCCCCGGGGCTCCCGCAGCAGCTCCTGCCTGGAGAGGTGGCCCCAGCCCGGGGCGAGTGGTCAGCTGGGACCTTGCAAGCTCCTGCCAGGAGGGGTGGGCAGCGAGAGATGGTGTGCGGAGTGACAATTTCCATCACGAGGCAGAGATTCCTCTGCTGCCCTAGAAGTCACTATTAATGATGACAAATAAGCAGTCAGGATGTGGACACACTGGGACCGAGCTTGCACAGACAACCTTGAAGTGCCCCGATTATTCACCTGTCCTGTGATACCACCTTGGATTTCAAGGTTGCATACGCTCCTCTTAAGGTTACCTGCCTCATTCACTGCAAAACACTTCGGGGTCGTAGGAGGCTGCGTGCAGACTCTGCATCATTTGCTGTGTGGCAGAAGGGGACTGCATGACACAAGAAGAAAAGCTGGGAAAGACCTTGGACTGTGTTTTGCCTTTGCCAGCACAGTGCTGACCCCTCTCTGCCCCGGCGACTGAGTTGAGCCCTGACTTGCCTCCTGCTGAGCCTCCTCACCCACAGCCAAACACACAGAAGAGTGCGAGGTACAGCCACAACCCCCAAAACTTGTACTCGGAAGCTCTGTGCTTCCCTGGTGCAGGTTTAACGGCACCTTTCTGCCCAGCCATCGGAAGCCCACACAGCAGGACCAGGCTGGCCCAGGCACTCACCTTGGTGCACATCTGTGTGCACATCTGCAGGGGCTGGAGGTGTTTTTCTCTCCAGCGGCAAATCTTTTGTGGCCAGGAGGTGCCTCTGCCATCCTGGCTGGAAGGACACAGGCCCGTGGGGACGTGGTGAACCCCAGCATTTTCTAGCAAGTGTTTTGTCAGGACAAGGGACAACCAGTACGGGGGAACTAGGAGCCATAAAGATGATGACCTATGATCTAAGTGGTTTAAGAAAAGTACAGGGAAAGTTTGCATCGTGGCTCATCTTGTGTCTTTCCTGTGTATTTTATTATATAAGCTGGTAGAGAACTTGTTCAGAAGGAAAAAAAGCTGTCTGGGAAATGTTCTTCCCCCTCTTTCACTTTTTTTAGTCTGGGGTGACAGAAATACCAGCTAGATGAACCCTGACTGCTCCAAAGGGATGTGCAGAAACTCCAGGAGTCAACAGGGTCCTCCGTGGCCACTGCATACTCAGACAAGCCTGCAGCTGGCATCAATGGCACAAAAGTCCATGCTCTCTCTGCATCTAATGCACGGTGACTTTGGTGAAGTCGACAGACTTATTTCCTACCCTAAATCCTTGATCAGCTTTCCCTGTTCTCTTTTCCATAGTAGAAGGTCCATAAGAGGTTGGTGGTACATCTTGTTTTAAAGCAACCATTGCCTTTTATATCTCGTGCTGTGCATCTTAAAACTTATAACATTTGATATTCAAAAGCTGATTCGAATGCCTTGCCACAAGGATTTCCCAAAGTGCTTGGACAGATTTTCTCTGTCTCCTTTTTTCTCTCTCTCTCTCTCCCCCCTCCCCTCTCCCCTCTCTTTCACTTTCATGTGTATGCGCTCTCTACTGCCAAGCTTTCAGTCAGTCAGCTGCTTGGTTGGGTTGGCTTTTTGATAGAGAGGGATCAGCCCAAGAAAAGACATTTTTATATGAAATATTTCAAGATTTACACTTAGTGATATTCAGGGACTATTGAGGGTTTCAGTGGCCAGGAGGTATTTAAGCCATGTTTGCTAGTGTACTGTTTCTTGTAACCAGGCATTGTTTTATTTTGATCTAATGAAGGCACATTGTCTGCTATCCCCAATAAAATTGCATTTATCTGTATCCAGAGGCTGTAGAGCACGTACTGTTGCAATTAAGTTCGCTAAAACAGCAAACTGCCAAGAAGGGGCTTCCAAGCTAGAGAGTTTACACAAGTCTTGCCCTCTGTTTATTTGCTCTTGAACATAAGCCTGCCTGGGCCTCCAAGAGCCAAGGAACAGGCAGAGAAGGAGGTCTACCAGGCACTGTCCCACCTCCTCTGGGCTAATGGTGCCCATGGGGCAGCGCGCGCTCAGATGGTGCACGAGGCTCACGGGCTGGAGAAAGGACTTGTGTGCCTGTGTTTGGGGCCACAGGGCTGTGAGCCAGTAAGGACATTAAAGAGCCAACAAGCAAGTGAAACAGAAGTTATTAGGTGTGCTGTCTCCAAAATAGTACCTCTATAGATGTGTGCATGTGTGAGTGCGTAGTTGTATTCTTATATATATGTATATGCAAATATGTATCTACAAGTATATATGCACATCTCTATACAAATGTATATACTTTTATACCTGTGTATATGCTATGTACAAACACACATATGTATATATGCATTTATTATATATGCATATATGTGTATGATCAAAAGCAAGCCCAGAAGCCTAGCATAGGGACTACCCAAAGTTTCACAGTGCCAGCCCACTTCACCATAGAAAAGTGAGTCATTGACCTGTTGCTACAGAAAATAAAAAATCATGCTGCTTCTCACCTTCTCACATGGGATAGACCCCAAACTGGATGGGGGCCTTGGTTTTTTGAAACATCTTTTTCCTCCCATGTATTTTAATTGCTTGGAAAACAAACAAACTTGCTGTTGGTCTTTCCTGATCGCAGTCTGAAGGCAAGACAACCCTACAAAACCAGGACAACACAGGCAGGTGAGGACTGGCACTAGCCAGGGGCCAACTCAGGATCCCTATTGCCCTGTGGCTGCCATACAGCAGGAGGTCAAGTCCATAGTTTGTCTTAGACTCACTTATTGAACATCTTCTCCCTTGTTCAGGTTAAATCCAAAGGGATTTAGCCCGCCCCAGGGAAGGGGAGGTGGTGGCACTATGTGGAGGTGGTGCCACCATGTGGAGGTGCTGCCTGGCACTTCTGAGGCAGGTGGGATTACAGCCTCTGCCCCAGGCACCGAACAGAGCTCTGCAGGGGATGGTGCCTGGATGAGACGCCAGCTTTTATTTCCATCTGGGCTTACCGTGCCCATCTTTCCACAGAGGCTGCTCTGAGGGAAACTCCAGGTTATGTAAAGGAGCAAGTTCAGGAGTGGAGGTCTGGCAGGCAAAAATCACACCCATCTCAACAAAGATGGCCTTTTTATTTGTTTTGATGGGTGCCATCCCAGCACAGGCTACCGTGCTACTGAAAGCAAGAGAGACCCTGAATTGTCTCTTAGTGAAGCCCTTGCTGGGTTAAGCCAGTAACTGGGGAATGATCCAAACTCCCAAAGATTTAATAATTAAAAACTCACTTGGATGGCACTAATTCCAACAACCTTCCCTCTCCCTTCCCTAGCTTTCTGGTTTTACTCTTACACTGAAACAGTGACCATTATTTTAGAGAGTTGTAATCACGATCATGGACAACATGAGTCTTTAACCAAGATTACCTCTACTCTCCACCAGGACTTGCTCAAGGTTTAGTTTGCAGGTAATGGTCTGGCTTCATTTCCACCTAAAATATACTTTGTACATTATTTCTAGCTTGGGTGTAAGCTCTGAGAGAAGCAATACTCTGCAAAGTTAACAGGGCTACAAATTCCTTTTCATTCTTATGCTTGTCATTTATAGCATTTTTACCTTTGGCCACTGTAGAGTATGTAAGTACATAAACCAACTGTGTGCTTCGCTCTCTGCTTTTCCCCTGCTTTCCTTTGTAGCAAAAGGAAAAGCAAGAGTGGTACCTTCAGGTCACATCCATCACATCAGCCCTTTATAATTATGAGGATCTGATCATCACTTTACTGGTGAGATGTTGCCAGGTACCGGCAGCATAAAGATGTAGTGATATTGCACCATAAATTCCCATCGTGTTTCACTTCTCCAAGCCAGGCTGCAGGTCACAAAAGTTACTGGATGCAACAGTGCAGCCGTTTGTATTTACTACCTGGTAATAACACATTACAGACCATGGTCTCAGCTTATTTACATGGGTGTCAGCCCAAAGTAACCTCTTGGTGCCACCGGATTTACACAAGATTTACACCCCTGTAACCAAGAGCAGAATTTGGCCCTAAATTATGATGCATTTAAAGATCCCGTGTTTCTGAGTTGTGGAGAATTGTTTACACCCACATGAAATGGGTTGTAAAATGCCATTGCGCTGATTTGTTAAAGCGTTGGACCCAGTTTGCTCAGGAGTAAATAACTACCTGGTGGGTGGCATAATATTTGCATCCTGTAACTTAAGGCATTGCTGTCTGCTGCAAATCAGTCAGGCTTCAGGCTCCAGCATCCTCCTGGGAGCAGAACGGATGCTCCTGGCCTGGAGAAAGTGATGCAACAGCAGATTGCTAATGAGTGGGAGTTCATGGGGAGTGACATACACGGAATAAAATTGGCATATCTTGTGTATACTTTCATTACCCAACTGGTTCTTTTTTGCAGCTGAAGTCTCGTGTCCTGATGACTCCCTTAGCAATCTCTCCGCCGAGAAGCACACCGGAGCCGGATATTAGTTCAATCCCCCAGGATGCAGCTACGATACCCAACTCGGCCACGCCACAGGCTCTCACAGGTACCCAGCCTCAAGTGCTCCTTGGCCAAGGGGTGAGCAGGAACCATGGGCTGACAGCCAGATGCTGTGCCTTCCAGAACAGGCAGAGCTCATGAAAATGGGGGGGTTTGCAGATTAGATTGGCGACCAGTGACAAAGAACAAAGATGTCCTGCAAGACTACGTTTTGACTGCCATGTGTCAAGTTTAGTGGCGATGTCAGACCCATTCCTCTTGAAATGCAGACATCAACATCCCATGAATGCTACCATTTTATACCCAACACTCACCCCATCAAATGTGTTGCAATGACCGGAATAAACCCCAGTGTGAACATGAAACATCTGTTACTGCTGTGGGGAGAAGAAGGACGGAGGAGCCATGGTCTGACTCGTAGGCAGGGCTACCAGTACATAAACCCCAATGCCTTATCACAGCAGCAGACCTGGCCATTTCTGGCTGTAACCAAAGAAAACACAGCCTTATTCTTTTTTTGCTTATATTATCAGAAGTAACATAGGTCAATGCTTTTAAATTGATGTAAATGAGAAGAAAATCAACAAGACAGTTGATTTACCCTGAGATTTCAGCAGAGAAATGGATTAGATAACATTAGAATCTAAACACAACACATAAATTCCATTATTTCTTAGCTGGGATGCACAGAGGAGAAGTTTTCCATCTGCTCTGGTAGCAGAATGATACTAAACATCGTGACGATGACAATAATAATATATTTTATTCTCATTTATCCCTTCACATGCGAAGACTGCAAAGCGCTTGGCAAACATCAGCCGAGCAGCGTTGCGCAGCACTGCCCTGTGAGGTGTGCCTGGTGCCGCTTTTGGAGTGGGGCAGGGAGGCAGAGTCCACCAGCCCCACCAGATCGCTGGGGTGGCCACAGAGGCAGAGGCTCTGTGGGTGATTTTGGGCTCTGTGGATGTGGCACCCTGCACCTCTGTCTGCCTGTCCCCATGCCGCCGGCACCTTTTCTCCCAGCACCTTCCCAATGGCGTGTGTAGGCTCCCACCAGAGCGGGGTTTGCGGGAGGTGCAGGCATGCGCAAGCCAACTTTTACCTCCCTACCTGCGCTGAAAGGACCATAGCGGCCCCCGCTTCCCAGCGAGGGACCCAGCACGCTGCCTGCAAGCTGCAGAGTCCCTCCTGTAGCTGAGCCCCAGACAAAACTGGTGCCTTGTGATGGCAGAAGCCACACTCTGCAGATTCGGTAAAGCCTGGCACGGTGGCACCCTGGGAGGGCTGTACTCTGACAGCACCCTGCAATGCATGCATGATGTTGCTGTCTTTCGGTGCGTTATCCTTTTGTTTGCTTGGCACTTGGAAGGTGTAAAGTGCTATGTAATGATAAGTATGATTGTTATTATCCTCCTGTTTACCCAGGATATACTGCCTGAGCCCCTTCTGCTGTTCAGTGAGAGATGGGGTAGCAGAGTGCGCTGTGACAGTGGCAGTAGATTTTCATTACGGTGATGCAAACTGTAAATTATTTCCTACTTTACACAGCTGTCACCATGTCCTCCACTCTGCTTGGTGGGTTTTTTTGTCACATATCTGATTTCTGTCAGAGGATAATGTTATATTGTCTGAGAGATGACAGCTTGAGCACACTCTGGCAGCTATTATAATATATCTCACTTTAGCTTGACTTTAGGCTGTGCCTTAGTCGCCCCTAGTTACCACAGCATCACCTCCGCTTCCTCCAAGATGCGGTTAGTCTCAGCCAAGCTTAAAGTAAGTTCATGCTAGCAAGAGGAGAACACTGATTTTTTGGCTATTGCTGGCAGGCCTGACGGCATGTAGAAAAACTGCATTTGCAGGCAACTGCATACCAGAGGAGGCATGCAGGGCTTGGCTGTGGAGAGGCTGGGGCATCCCTCGCAGACCCCCTGTGTGGCACAGTTGGGTGGCTGTGGTCCCAAACGGGGGTTTAGCATTGCACACGATGTAAAATTTCCCTCAAGGTGATGCAGTTTGCAGAGTGCTGGGTTGGACATGGAGGGGCAGGAAGCTCCCAGAGACCAGAGTCTCTGCCATCGCGCTGTGCAGCTCAGCACAGAGTAACCCTCCAGAAATCACAGCTGCTTTAAGGTCAGAAGCAGAAAGGAACACAAGTCTCCCAAAACTCGTCTCAGACCTGTGCTTCTCAGAGAAGAACCAGTCTAAAAACACACAGAGAAAAAAACCAAACCCAAAACACACCTCGGGCTGGAGTTTGCCCATTGCTGTAAGGTCACCCCTGCTAGTCACTGTCCTGAGCAATGTTTCTGGTCACCAGCTGCATGGCCAAGGTAGTCTGCAAGAGAGCAGACCCCAGACACACACAGGAGCTTCTTTCATTGCACGTAGCTTGTCCTCATCCGTGGCACTAAGCAAGGCCTAAGCTCACAGAATCACAGAATCACAGAATCACTATGTTGGAAAGGACCTTCAAGATCATCAAGTCCAACCATTAACCCAACGCCACCATGTCCCCTAAACCATGTCCTGAAGGGCCACATCCACAAGTTTCTTGAATAATTCCAGTGACGGTGACTCCACCACCTCCCTGGGCAGCCTGTTCCAATGCTTGACTATCCTTTCGGTGAACAAATTTTTCCTGATATCCAGTCTAAACCTCCCCTGGCACAACTTGAGGCCATTTCCTCTCGTCCTATCACTAGTTACTTGGGAGAAGAGACCAACACCCACGTCACCACAACCCCCTTTCGGGTAGTTGTAGAGAGCGATAAGGTCAGCTCAGCTCACTTCACTTAGGCGACGGGTGCAAGGAAGCCTGGCTGTGCCCGTCGCAAGTGGGCGGCAATCCACTGTTGTGAAATAAATTAGGAATGTATAAAGCTCGCATTTGCTAGGACGCTCTCAGGGCCATTTTGCGATAACCTTGTTGGGATTTTGTGCCTACAGTCTGCATTTATGTCAACAAACAAGCGAACCTGGGGCCGTACCTTGACAGAAAAAAAGTGCAGCAGCTCCCAGAGCACTTCGGGCCGGAGAGACCATCTGCGGCCCTGCAGCAGGCGGTTCAGGCCTGCATCGACTGCGCGCTCCAGCAAAAGGCGGTCTTCTCGCTCATCAAGCCGGGCTACGGAGGCGAGATGGTGTCAGGTAAGGCATTTTTTTGTGAGGGGTTTGCGGCCAATTGGGAAGGGCTTGCAGTCTTAACCTGATCCCCAGTCCTGACTGTCCTAGCTGCCCCGTTCGCATCAGCTGGGTTTTTCACGCAGCCCCCATGGACGAGCGGCACTGCAAGCCTGCTTCATGCCACAGGTTGCTGCCATGTGTCACTGTAAAGGAAAACTCACAATGAGTTCAGCTGCTGGTGTGTCCTGCGCCTGCCGTTCATGAGCTACCTCCGCTCTCAGCTGTAGGAACTTGCAAAAGTCCTGTGGCAATTCCCCATACAGCAGGACTATACAAATATATCAGAGAGAATCATTGATCAGAGGTAACTTCCCAGGAGCTCCTCATCTTCCCGTGGTGACATTTCTTGGTGTGTCTTTGACGAGCCTCCTGTGTTCCATGCTGAACCCCCTGGCCTGGCTCGCAGACTGAACATGAACTTTTCTTTTAATCACAGCAGGAGTTTTGCGTCACAGCGTTGCTTTAGCACGTGGGAACGCAGCGGGAAGGGAACACCAAGGACCAAGGACCAAGTCCAATCAGTTTCGCAGGGATCACAGCAGCTCAGCCATGCCACTGGGACCCTCTTGTGTGGGAGCCCAGGCTCTGGCCCTCTGTGCAGCATATAAATCCTGCTTCCTCCCTCTCCTCTGGGTCTCTTTAATCACAGGTGTGCCTTCCCTAAGGGACAGCAGAAATACTCTAAGAATGACCCAGATTTGTTCACAGAAACATAAGACCGAAGCAATTAGTGCAAAGCTTCATTTTTGCCTGGTTCTCTGCTACGTATATGATTTTCATTACAAGCAGGAGAGTCACATTGTGCACCAAGCCTGCCAAACCCCTTGGTCTCAGTTCCTCTGAGCTGGCTTGGCTTCAGGTACCTGAGCTAAAGGCACCTGGTCAACATTGCTCCCAACTTCATGCCTCTTCTAATCATCGAGGAGGGGTGAATGGCCTTCTAGTTGTGGTGTAGCTCTGAGATTGCAGCTCAATCCCAGCCCAGCAGCAGCGCAGACAGATTTTCTCATGGGCTTTCCAGTCTTCCCATGGCTTGGCTCACAGGTACTCAGCTGGCTTCCTTACAGCAGCTCAGGCCAGCAGGAAATCTCTGAAGTTATCCCAAAGATTATATGCCTAACATTGCAATTTATACTCGTTAGTAGTGACTGGAGGCTGTAGGACTGGAAAAAACCTTCCAGGTGGTGGAGTTCAGGCAACCATATCATGTAGTCCTCCCTGCAAAGCTGTTGACACCTGAATGTGTCCTGCTGCAGTTTATCCTGCTGGGTCTGTTGTGACCCCTCCACCTCTCTCGTGGCTGGGACCTATGCCCTTTTTTATTCCTGGCTAAATATACTCCCTGACACCTTTGTCCAGGAATTTTAATTGCTCTGCTCTCACCGTTGAGTTCAATCTTAGCTATATTTCTGAAGAGCAGTCCTCATCCTGCTAGGCTGAAATACACAGTTTCTTTCAGGTCCTCTCTGCATTGTGAGGAAGATTGCTGGATTAATGTAAGAAGTGCAAGTGTCTTCCCACACACCCTCGTAGCAGAGATGGTGGTGGCTACAGTGCCACAGGGAAACTTTCTATTCCCTGAACCTTGCTGTGGCCTACCTGTTCAACTCTTCAGAGGTGTGAATTCACCCTTCTTGAGCCTGGATGACCAGAATGGTGCCCACCAGTCCAGCTCAGCTTTCACCAGGACTTTATACAGTGGAATTGATACTCCCTTGGCTCTCCTGGAAATGTTTTCTTCAATATTTCCTTGAAATATATCTGACTTTTTCATTGCTGTGTCACCTTGGTGGCTCATGGGCTCATGGGCATCTGAGCCTGTCTCATCATTTCTCCTCCCATCAGGTCATGTTGAGCCTCCGCAAAAAAAAATTATGGATTGCTGTGTACTTTCTAGTATTTTTTCCACCCATTTTTATTATTGCAGGGCTCAAGATCAACCAGTCCTTTCTGTGCAATCTCCCAGTTCTCTTCTACATTGATAATGCCTCCCAGCTCACAGCATCAACAAAATCTTTTTGTACCAGCATGGACCACTGCTGGTCCCTCTCCAGTACTTTGGGTCTCCTGCCAGCAGACCCTGTTATCACCTCCTGACCCACTTTTCATAGGCAATCATTTCCAGTTTAACAAAGGATTTCTCATACTTTACTGAATTCTGGATAGACCACAACTGCCAACCTTCCCTTGCCTATAAATGCAATTAAATCAGTAAATAAAGCTCCATGATGAAGCTGGTAGCCCTCTCTTCAGTACAACCCTGGTACCTTTTATTCATTCACAGCCATGTCTTTAATTCTTGTCTCCCCATTATCTTTTAAAACCTTGGGTATTGCTGAAGTCAGCCTAATAGCCCATCATAGGCAGATCACTTTCTTTCCCCTTCCTTAGATCAGGATATTGTAATTGCCTCCTTCCAATCATACAATACAGTTTTCAGTTGGATGCATATATTAGAAATCCTTGCACTGCTGGCCATGCCAGTCAGCATCTTTCAGCACTCCAGAGGGAAGGTGATCTGGGTCATACAAACTCAGCTCCTTAAGCTCCTCCAGTTTTTGTACTTCAGGTGGGGTAATTATGTAAAATATTTTAAGACATACAAATACTTGTTTGAAATCTTTTCCCCTGCGCTCATTTGTCCTCCCGATGTGCATCCCCAGGTATTGAATTGCTCCTGCTTGCTTTCCAGTTTCAGCTTCTTTTGAGGGGAAGCAGCATCTCCTGAGCCTGTTGGTAGTGAACAGCATCGGGTATGTCCTGCGTTTCCTGAAGAAGCTCTGTCGCAGCCTCTTGTGTGACAATCTCTTCAGCAACCAGCCTTTCCAGCAGTACAACGCCGTGCCGGAAAGCCCAGAGGCGTATGAAAACAGACGGATGGAGGCAGGTAGGCTGCTTGATCAGCTTGAGCTTAAGATTTAATAGGGCTGAAGAAATAACTGTCTTTTTTTGGTCCTGTACTGTATATGGTGGAGAACTGCAGGTCTCTGTGGGACCTTTCTAGCAGGAGGCAGCAGGTTGATTTGCAGTATTTTTCCCAGTGGCTATAGAGGTGGCTTTCAGGTGAGAACCACTGTGTTGAGGAGCCCCAGCAGTGATAGGGATAATTTTTAAATTACTTTCTATCTCTTTGTTTCTTTTATCTCTTTTCCTAAGGAAACAAGGCTTGTATGATCCCGTTGTCCTTGTTTCTGTCAATTCTCTCCCATTACTTTTGGTCTCCTCAACCATACCTGGCCCTGGGGTAGAAGCCTAAAGGCATTCAGTTCCTTCAAGTTTCAGACAGGTGGGAAGGTAGAGGGGAAATTTCTCTCTCCATACAACTCAACCACCATATTAGACACTTAAGGATCCCCACTGACTACCAAGCCTCCTCTGCTTGCAGAGCTCCCCTGCAGAGCGTTGTCTGTCCCCGCTTCCCAGACCCCTTTGCTCATGCCCTGCCTTGACTCATTGGCTGCAGCGAGAGGTGGGAGGCCGGGGGAGCACGTGGACCCCAGCCCACACTTCAGTGTCACCGCAGTGTGAATAGGAAATCACCACCGTAACGGGTACACCCTGACCTGGCTTGACTCGTTACCTGTGTGCTTCCCCGCTTGCACACCGCTCGTTTTAAGGATCATCTGCAAAGCAGCACGGTCTGCCTTCACTCGAGGGGACCTCTTCCTGGGAGAGGGGAGAGAGCCACTCACAGCAATGCAGTTTTGGGTCAGTGCATTAGCATAAATCTGAGGTAATGTTACTTGCTGCAGCACAGTTAGCCTGGACCTGTCATCTCCACCCATGAGTGTAAACCTGTGTGAGAGTCGTGACTTCTCAGGGGTTTGCTTTACTACTTGGAGGAGTGTTTCTCTTAGCTTAAAATGCCTGTGGGCATCAGCAAGGTCCCTGTCTTAGTGCTTGACCGTGTGGGGTGAAGCCTGGAGGGGCGGTGGCATGGGGCAGATGCACCCAAGGATGCTGGTGGTCCAGAGAGGCACCTGCCCCGAGCAGCACCAGGCTCCCAGGTGGATGGGCACGCCTGGGCTTCCTTCTTGCCCACACCCCAGTGTGCTGGTACGGGGTGCTGGCCCCACACAGCCCCCATGGAGCTGGGACATGCCTGCAGCCCCCATCTGCAATCAGTGGCCAGAAAGCTGCCCTGTGGCCTTATTATGGACATTGCAAAAGTCAGTTCAGAAAAAAGAAAAATGCAAAGTTATGGCCCTGAACCTCTGCTTCACCTGCAGGCTTCCTCCTGACTTAAATTATTTTTTCTTTTCTTTTATTAACAACACTGTGGGTGTTTGGGGAGCACGCTGTCTCTCATGCATTCGGTTTAATGGCAGATAAACGCTGGCAGCTGAGAGAAGGGTGTTTTAGTGTCCACAGTTATGATCCATGAATCGCTTGTTTGCCAGGAAGAACCTAAATGTGTGCTTCGCACACCAAAGCTGGGAGTGGGCTGTGCACATAGTGCAGAAATCGCCTTTTTGTGCAGAGATACCCAGCTGCCACCCTGACACATAGCGGGGGAAAGGCAGGAACCCAGATTGAAAAGCAATAATTTGTTTCCTCTGGACTGGACATTTGCAGCAACCGGAACATTTCTGAGAGGTCAAGGGATTTCTGTAGCACTGAGTGAGTGCAGCCCAGGAGGCCTGGCATTTGCATTAGCATTTGCATTTTAATTTGCATGGCAAGTCTGTATGTGATGGAAGGCAACTCCACAGCCGGAGTTGTTACAGTGGCTGTTACGTGCTGAGCATCTCCTTCCCCACATAATTTCGAGGCAGATGTCTCTGACACCATTCCCACTGGCTCTGCCCAGCCACTGAGGAAGGGGCAAAATATTATTTTTGCCCCAGACCGGGCAGGAGACGTGGATGTAGGGAAGGTTTCTGGCTCTTCCACTGCTGGGGGCAATTAATAGCCACCCTACAGGCAGGGGGGTGGGCAGCCTGGGCTAGTCAGGGCTAGTGCTGCTTGGGCTCTCCTCCCCTCTGCCTGGCAGCGGGATGGGCTCTTGGGGCTTTTACATCTCCATCACCAGCAGCGCTGTGGTACATACAGTGTGGGACGCGAGCTGTGAAATAGCTGAGGGCAGCGGTTATACATGGGGTTAAAACTCCTCTGCCAGCCTCCAGCTTGCTCGCCCCGGGGTCTGGTAGCCACTGGCCTGCTAGGCAGAGAGCCGAGTGTGGGTCAGCATGACCTGCAGGGTTTTGGGTGCTTCCCTGTTGCAGTGGGGACACGGGAGAGGTGATGGAGGAGCAGCCTGGTCCCGCAGCGAGGGAGGCTGCGATGAGCCGTGCCGCTTCCAGAGCAGCCGGGTGCTCAGGTTGCTCTGAGCTGGCAGCCCCAAAAGGGGACTCTCCTTCCACCAAAGATTAGCAGAAATATGGTGAAACAGTATTTGAGGATGTTTTCAGAACTCTGCTGACCACCGGCCCTGGTGGGCCAAGTTTGGCGAACCCGGGTCGCTCCACCGAAGCCTGTCCACGGGCCTGGGGAGGAGCTCAGCAGCTTCACCAGCTGAGCCGCGGCCTGCATCGCTGCGGGGCCCAGGCTGCGGGCTGGAGACTGGGGCCTTGTTTCAGTGCAGCCAGTGTTGTTTGGAAAACCCACCTACAAGCTTATTGCTCTGCCCCAGAGCGCGCACAAAGAGGCACGGGAGGAGAAATTAACTCTGCCACATAAAGCCCTCGAGATGGGGAATTTTGGAGAGGCGAAAAGCTGCCTCTTCCCCAGGGCGACTTGTGTCCAGCTCAGGCGCTGTCTGTCCGTGGCTGTGTGGCAGAGGGACCGGAGCGATGGCCTCGCACCCTCCACGCTGCGCTCCGCCAGAGCCAGGCAGATACCTAATATTCCTGTTCATCATGTCAGGCTGTATTCAACAACAACGTCGGCACCAGCGGAATAACCGCAGTTTTAGGCGCTGGGGCTTGAGCTGCTCAGTCTATGTTTAATGCTGCATTGCCTAAATCTCCTTCCATCTCCTGGGGAGCCCGCGTGCCTCTGCAGCAAGGTCAGCAGAGGGGGACCTCTGCCACTCAGGACAGAGACAGGGTGTCCCTGTGGTGGCAATAATAAGGAGGACAGTAGGAGCTCTTCTTGCAGACGGGTCTGCGAGGGCGCCTGTTGCGATAGAGCTCGCACGGAAGGAGCAGAGCCATAATAAAGCACCACGGGAAGCCATGCAAAGCAGCCACATTTTTCATTGTTTCTATTCTCCAGCTTGTAATTGAGATGTTCTTTCTTTTAAAATCATGTGCTTTTCAGCCCCTGTGTACCAATGAATTTAATACATGTATTGACTACGGTGCAGTTAGCCTTGATTTACAGTGGCAGAAGTGAGAGGAGAAGCCAGCATCGTGTCCAGTCATATTAATCCACTTACACCATACAAGAGTCACCTTTTAACCTTGCCCCCAAGCACATGCCCCTAAGCCATTATTCACCTGTGCTTGCAGCAAACTGCCAGATGCTAATGGCTGCGTACAGGCCAAGTGGGATTTGTTGATCTATGCATATATCACTTACAACGATGTTTTACACGCCCACGAAGCACACACTCACCAGGCTGTACCCGGCAGCAGCCTCTGCAATGAGCCTCGTTGGCTGTGCATCACCCTCCCCACACCTGAGCCCCCACGCTCTGCCCGCCCTGCCAAGCCCTCTCGCTCCAGCACCCAGCGGCCCCATACATGGGGCGAGGGTCCCTCTCCAGCCCTCCTTCAACGCCAGTGGCTTCCCTGCCTTATCTTGGCACATCTGGGGACACATCCCATGGCTCTTTCTCAGCTGTGAGGGGACTTTCTGGCTCATAAGAGCAATTTGTGGGGTGCAGCTGTGGGATGACTGCCAGGACTTCATCTGGGAAGTGCCCGGCTTCAGGTCTGCACTACAGCAAATCCTGAGATGTTACTTGTCCCCACAGCACTTGGGTTCAAATCACCTCTGGACCTGCACCCAGAATTTTCCATGAGAGTGGTAGTGCAGTTTCAACCAAAATGATGGCAAGATCTGAGTGAACTCTGAAGAAAATGCTGTGAAGTGTGCCGGGGCTACATGGATGGGAAGCCAACGGACATCCTGTGAAGTGCCTCCATCCACACTCTCTGCGTTCAGCTTTCATGCTGAGTTAATAGAGGCTTGGATGGGAGCATGGGAAAACGTAATTTCTGGAACACCTGCATACTGTTGACACGCATCTACGCAATGTTAGACTGTTATTTTTCAGAGGAAAGCATGTTTGCTATAAAACTTCTTCCCAACGTTATGGTGGGCACAGAAATTGACGTAGTTCTTCTTATGTGGGAAGCATCAAACATGATAAGCATCTTCTTTCCCCTTTCAGTCAATCCTTTCCTTACCCTTTCTGTCCTGGACCTTCGCTTTTGGTTATTTTGTGCTGTTGGACAATTGCTGTCCTCCATGCAGAGCATGTCTGCATGTAGCTGCAGCAAATCTTTCTTTACGCAAGGACTCCTGTGGCCACCCTGTACGCTTGTCCTCATCACAAGAGGGAAGACAAGAAGGTCTGTGAATAAAGTCTCCTCTCACCATGGCCAAGTCAAATTTGTATGTGTAGATGCCATATGGTGTCCCCTACCACTGTCCACAGGAGAACAGCACCTCTTCTCGTGGCAGTGGCTGGAGGCAGGGCCCCATATAGAACAGAAGCACAGCAGGAGGTAGAGGTACCCTGTACTATATCAGTGCTTCTATATATAGGAACAGGGGCTCTTCCTATCTACAAGCACTTGAAAACTTGGCCTCAAGTTGCGCCAGGGGAGGTTTAGATTAGATATTAGGAAAAATTTCTTTACTGAGAGAGTGGTCAAGCATTGGAACAGGCTGCCCAGGGAGGTGGTGGTGTCACCATCACTGGAAGTGTTCAAAAAA